TTCTGATCTGAGTTCTTTTTTAATACACACATTTGACCATTAGGACGTGACTGCACCTTGACGTGGTGTGATGGCTTGGGTGCCTCCATGACCCTTCGAGCTAAACAGGATGGCTTCTCACCGCCGCAGATCCAATCATGTCTGAAAGATCAACGGGTAGAGGACAGACAAAGCTCCGTTTCACAAAGACAATTGCTTGCGCACCTCCTGGTTTCCCCTTCCTATCCACACCCGCCCCTGTAGAGGTCACTCCAGCAAACAAACACGGTGAGGGACAGCTTACCGGTGGACGTAGGAGCGGGCTATCTGGGGTTTCCTCTCGACGGTGGGAGAAGTCCTCGCACTTCACTGGACAGCTACCGTCAGCCCCCAGCCAATAAGGTACTGTCTGGTTCATGTTCTGCTTGTCTCATTGGGTGTATGGGACTAAGGGCCGATCCCGAAAAACGGACCAACAATCAACGCACCGCCGAACAACACAATTAATCGAAATCCAAAGGCCTTGTATGACAGTTCTATAGAAACTCTCGCACGGGTGCTTCGTTAGCGCTCCCACGTTGAACTTACGCCCCACAGCCTTTTGGGTCAGACTTCTAAGTAGAAGGCTCCGGTTAGGGTTACCAAGAAAAAACCCTTCGTCGGTGTGGGTTATATCGCGAAGTATGTCGTGCCCTAAAGGCTTAGGCACCAGTTAGGAAAAAGCTCTTTTCCATCCGTCTTCCTCTCGATCCCAAATAATCCCAGACATCATCATCATCGTACTGCGAAATACAGTCAGGCGAAAGTCAATGATTGCTGCCAAACTCGCAATGCATACAAGGTTAGCGGTAACATTCAAGGTGGAAAGGGATTGGACGTATTTTGAGGGAGGGGGAAGAAGGTGAACCTCTATGGTCAACACACAGAGTACGCAATCGAACTATGCATACTTATAGTTTCAAGCATTCTCACCTGATAAAAAACGACAACAAGAACGCCACTGCTGTCGGTTTGCTCCCATATCCTTCAACGTCTCCAACCAACCAGTTGTAGAGTCTTTCGGACCCCAACCTGGAAGACGAGAGACACCTACTCTAGCTAATGGCTCTGTGCATTTCTTTATGCCTCGTCTCTACGTCATCTGTTGACCTCCACATGGTTTTCTCCAGCACGGATTAGCTACAGCGAATAAAGTGCGGTGCGGCAGACGACAGCTGGGCATACGCAATACGTGCACTAGCCATCGAAGTTTACTAATCTGAATTCGGTGTGCCAGCAGATTTATACCTGATAGGCTCCCAAACACGACGGTTTACCTCCACGTTACTAACCCGTTCGTTCCATCCAACAGGGGCTCAGCTACGTAAACACCGATAATCGAAAACTTCTAGTCAACGGATATCTCCTACTAGAAATTCAGGGTCACACACTTGCTAATCTATCAAGTGCGCTTTGCGCGTCCCCCATACATTCGAACAGACAGACGATGTCATCGGTGTACTCTAAATCGCACAGTAGGTTAACTTACTTCCTGGGGCATTCCTTTTTGAAGAAAGGGAGCCTATCAGAGTTTCGCGGTCAACTGAGTCGAAGGCTCCTTTCGGGTCAAGGAACACTGTGATCGTTGGCCGACAGTGGGTGTGATGCAGCTCAAGGATCCGACGCAACGTAAAAATTTGATCAATACATTCACGGCCAGACCGGAATCTGGTTTGCTGTTCACGGATGTTGGTCTCTCTTAAAGGCGTCAGACGTCGAAGTTTAACCGAAGCTAGCATTTTGGTGACGATCGGGGTCAAACTGATCCCGCGATGGTTTTCGCAATCGTTGCGAGATCCTTTCTTGAAAATGGGAACGATCAGTGACTCGCCCCAAGATGAAGGAATGTGTTCTTGCGTCCAAACGTTGCTCAGTAGGGTAGTAATAGAGCTTACGAGGTTATCACCCCCCCCCCATTTTGAAAAGAGTGGGGGGGAGCTCATCCGGTCCTTCTGCCTTTCTTCGCATCAGAGCTTGAACGCAAGACGAATTTCTGTTTCTGCTGGAGGATCGCATGATACTGCCCATGGAGGTTCAGTTGCAGATGAATCAGCCCGGTTAGCACTAGGCCAGCTGAACTGTTTGCTGAAGTATTCTTCCCAGCGATCGAATCGTTGATCCCTATTGCGAATAGCTTGTCCCCTCACATCGCAGACTGTTTCACTAACTGCAGGTCGCCGACCTCCCGTATTGCGTATCAGTCGGAACAGTCTTTGACTATTGCCTGATGCAGCCGCTACTTTCATTTCACTAGCTATTGTTGCCCATCAGCTCTTCGTGAGCTGGCGTTGTAGATGCCACCCAACGCTATTTTGATCCTGGCAGGTCGGGATTTGTCGTTTTTCTCCATCAAAACTACTGACTCCTGAGATATCCAATGCCTCCGACGGGTTTGAGGCTCAGACCCACAAACAACCTTC